ACGCAGGCGGCGAATGCGTTGGGAGCTGCGATGTCGGACGCAGCGAAGCTAAGCAAGGCTTGTTTTCACCACCCGCGTGAAGCACATGGTCTGCAAAGAAATGGGACGGTGAAGATACGGATTTTTAAGGGATGCTAACTTCTAATGCATAAAACGTCATCTTTAAAACTTCAGGTGCAGAGTGAGAGTCTGACTTTTCACAACCTATAGTAATGTAACAGGTGAAAATGTTGCAGTATTTTTAACGTGAAACTGATAGGCCTATGTCTCACTGTTGGTGTTGACTTTCCCATCTTAGTTTATTAAGCTGCTGTAAAATAGATTAATAATGTTAGCAGTAAAAGTTGAAATTAAATTGTCATAAAGGAAGTAATACTGGGTTGTGTTTGTGTTTGTTCTTAAGAATTGTTATTTCCAGTTGAAGGCTACTTTCATTTCTGGAATCGAGTCTGGACTGCTCGACTGCAGCAAAGATACCTCCTGAAATTTATTGGTTTGGGTTTCAGTTCTGGTTTTGTACTGAATGTTTTTTGTGAGAAGAAATGACTCTGTAAAATGTGTTGCTACAATTAAACTCCAGGAAATTTGTTCTGCAGTGACCATATCATCGATGTGAATGAAAATCATATGGAAACACAGAGTGCTTCAACAAGGAAAAAAGAAAAAAGTGAGGGAAGGGATGGCAGTCGCTGGAATTGTTAACTTCTGTCGTGTTTCAGAGAAAGTCCATCCAAAGGGTTAACTGGAGGGGCTGAGGGAGAACGGACACCTGGGACCTAACACCCAATTGGCAGTCTTTTGTAATATATAATTTGCCTAAAATTGCACACTGAGCACAAGCTTTTGTTTTCTAATTGATTTACGGTTTGAGCCACTTTTACCTCATCCCCTACTGTCCTGCACACAGTGCCAGCAAGTACATTACAGTGAAAAATGATAAATTACCATGCACTTGTGATGCTAATGCATCAAGAGTAAAAAACTGCATACTACATGGAGCTTCATGCATTAAGAGTGTCGCAAAGATAGAGCTGTGCAAAAAATCATTTGTATCTTCTGAAATAACCATTTGATCATTTACTTCAATTCGTCTCTGAGACCTAATTGAACCTGATGATTAAAATTTATGCTATTGTGGCTTTCCATTTGTGAATTGGGACAAAGTTCTAAAGAAAGTGTGCGAGTGTGGGCTTAAAGCTACCTGTATTTTTGAAACTTTTAATAAAGTAATTGATCAGGAAAGTAACAAGTATTACAGCTTCTTAAAGCCTTTTTAAAATCTAAATATTATGCTTGTTAATGACGACTGCAGTATGCATTCTCAAATGGTATTGCTTCACTTCTGGATGAGAGTATGTGCTAATGTAGGTACTATCCAATTGATGTCACCAAAACTATTTAAATTTTTGAATCTGTTTTATTTTGGAGGTGTAGTGCGTCTTGTGCTGAATAAAACCTTTACAAATATGGAGGAAGAACTGACAACCTCATATGTATAATATCTACTTGCATTTGTGAAATACCTTACTGACATCCCAGAGAAAAGGAAAAATGTGGAAGTTGGTGAAACCTAATATGTGCTTATTGTCTGATTTCTTTCCCCCACCCTCCCTGCACCATGGGCTGGGTTTTGTTTTACCTTCACATACTCAGTCCACCTTAAATTTTTTTATTTTTGTATGGTGTCTGTGGGTTCCAGTCTTGAAATATGAAGAAACAGATTTATGGCGGCTGCTGGGCACAACAAATTAAGTTGACAGTGATGTATGAGAGCATAATAGCATGATGATCCCTCTGTAGCGCGGCTGGACGCCTCCTGCTTCATTTGGCTCTTGTTAGGATCTGTTAGGCAGCTAAATAATGAAATTCTGCTGACTGATTTCTGATTTCTCTTTTCTTTCTCTTTTCACCTTTTTCTGAAACTTGCGTTTCCCAGACCCATCCTAATGCCAGCAAACTGCCCTTAAAGGATTCTTTCACTTATGATGACTACAGGTTGGTCTGTCTTTTAATTTTTTTTAATTTTTTTTAAATATAGTGAACTGTGGGACCCTGGAAATGCTTCACTGGTGGGAAAGCCTTATTGTTACCGAAATGTTAAGTGTAGGATTTGATACTAATACACTTTCTTTATGAAGAAAAAGGTAAAATAAAAATGCAGATTTTAATTGTTACAAAGGAATAGTCATTGTAAGCAGTTAATTTATCCAGCTGGCACACACAGTCTGAGATTAGTAAGGTAATTTGTTGTTTCTTAAGGAAATAATTCGGCTGATGTTGCAGGAGGATTGGGCTCTGGGGTTGAGGATTTTTTTTTTTTTTTTTTACTACTCTTGTTTTATAAAAGGCTTTACTAGCACATAGTAAAACCTTATATTTACAGTGGCTGTTGAACAGGAGAGCTGGAGAACTTAAGCTGTACACGTGAAGCGTGAGTGTCACTTGGAGGTGGTATAGGGAGTGACATAATTAAGATAAAAATAAGAATAATTAAGATAACAAAAGCTTTAATTCTGTTAAGTGATCAAAATAGCATGAATAAAAGCATTCATGAGGTCTTACTGGGATGTTTTCTTAGTGTAGTTGTACTTCTGGGTAAGTCTATGGAAGTGGGATTTCCAAAGCATGCCTCCTTCACTTACAGGGTCACAAAGGAACACACCAACTTACATGTGAAGTGGTCTAAAATTTTGCAGATAAAGTACAACAATTAGAAAGACACATATGGCTATTATGTTTCAGTCAATGTTTGTATATCAGAATTATTCACAATTTTAACTTGCTTTTTTTAGAAATTAAGTAGATTTCAATTTGACAGTCTAAGTAATCTCCAGCCCTTCTGTAAGTCTAATTCTGTATATTAAATACTTGTTAGTAGTGGAGTCAATGAGAGTTAAAATTATTTTGACCTTCTCCTGGTGGTGTTGTGTGTGTGCCCCACCCCCCCAAAAAAAACAAAGCGAAAAAACCAACCCCACAGCAAATATATGTATTAAGGCTAAGACATACTGAAAATAAGATTATTCTTCTCCCTCTGGCATTTAATATTCATTTTTGTCTGAAATAAAATAAAAATTAACATTTCAGTATTTTCTAAAATTTAAGCTTTTCTGAAGATTCTTAAGTTTGAATAGGGAGCTGGCATTTCCTTTATTTCACCTGAGTTAGAAGGGTTTTGAATGATGTCTGTGTGCTAAACTATGTTAGACTTTCATCATTCTTTTTACCTGGATATCTGTTTGGGTTTGTTTTTTTTTTCCCCTCTTTATTCTGTTAAGCAGAAAATTTAGCAATACTGACATAAGCCAACAGTTCACAAGCCGAAGAGAAGTGCTTACCAAAATATCATGCCTAAGTCAGATGATGACACTGGTTTCTAGTGCATGCAGTACATAAGCTTTCTAGGGAGCAAGGGGAAAAGTACCTCCTGGCTCTTACAAGATCTACTCATAAATGAGAGCTACTGCTGCCAAGCAGTAGCTGTGAGTGACTCTGAAGCCTGCAGGAATAGCTGACCCCGGATTTGGGATGTGTGGTGAGAAGTATGTGTGCAGTGAAGAGTTGGGGAAGCAGAAGGTGACATAGGATTGGGTCCTGGTTGAAGTAATGGTAGGTATGAAGGTTGTGTTGCAGGGTGCAGAAGAGGGGTGGGATTTGCAACCTGATGTGGGAATTGGTCTATGTGCTTGCCTTAGAAACAAAGGAGCTGGTGCTTCTCCTGCAAGTGGTATTGCCTTCTACTGTTGCTATAGTTGGTGTGATCTTTAAGAAAATTTACGTTTGGAAACTCCCAGCCTAAATGATTGCTTCAGGTTGGACTACAGCCAATCTTATATTGATGTTTTGAACATTGACCATCTAATGTTTTTAATTTTTGTAGATGGGCGGTTTCCTCTGTTATGACACGGCAGAACCAGATTCCAACAGAAGATGGTTCCAGAGTTACTTTGGCTTTAATACCTTTATGGGACATGTGTAATCACACTAATGGACTGGTAAGGATTTCTTCAGTGTTGCTGTGAAAGGCTTTAGGGCTTAACTATTAAGCCTTTCAACTGCTGTAGAACAGTGTAATAACACTTTTCATTATGCTGCTTAACACAGGTATTTTATCTTCCCAAGTGACCCTAAAAAACTAATATCTGAAAGAAAGATTTGTCAGTTTGTTAGATGTCTTACAATAGCTTTTCTGGGAGAACTTCATCTAGAGAAAACTTGAAGTGATTGTATACTTACATACAGTTATGTCTCATATACATCTAATGTGCCATTAGAAGTTTTCAGTTACATGATACCTTTTTTTTTTTTCCTAGCCAAGTTTGAATATTCTTCTGACATGGAGTTTTGTTTCTGATGGGCTGAAAAAGATTCACAATACTGGACAGATTTGTTCTGAGAGTAGGAAAGTAGATAGTAATGGAGGTTGCCCTTTGTAGCTACCAGTAGGGAGAGTAGTTAGAAATTTGCAAAATTTTGTTTCTCAAAATACTGCCTGTTCTCCTAACCATGCCCAAAGAGCCTCGTTATGGAGACAGCAACAACAAGAACAAAGCCTAGTTCAACAAAAACAGTACATCTGTTACTACATCAAAGAAACAAAATGCAAAAATACTACTTTAGGGCATATTAAACATTTAAATGGTGACATATGTCTATAGAAAGTCAGACCTGCTGACATTTTGGCTTATGTGAGCTAGTTCAGAAGATGAGGTCTTGATTTCATTAACAGGCTGGTTAATGTTGAAGTAAGGAAATGGAAACCCGTAAGAGGATGGTTTATCATTGTTATGTAGCCAGTCTTGTGTACTCTTCAAAACTCATACCCTCTAATTGTGTTTCCAGCAGATAGTATTGTTTGTTGTAAGCAGTGAATGTGACTGTACTATTCAATTAATCTGATTCTTTTGTGGGAGAGCTGACCTGAGTGTTAGGACAGCAGCACCTGTTAGTATTGTTGGTGTAAGAAAAGCCTGGTTTAAATGAACACATTGTAAAGCAAGTTGTTTTTCACTTGACATTTAGCTACTTTATTGTTACTGTGACTGCACTAAATACAGCATGGTAGGCTAGGCTACAAAGTTGCAAGTGTTTGGGTTATTTATTTATTTACCTTTCCATATTAAAAGGTGATTACATGTTGTTCTTTAACAGTGATTCTTGCCTTTCACTATTTGTTATGCAATTTCATAACTTTGATTTAGCAATAAAGCTTGTGTAAGAGTCTCCAACGTAAAGAAAATGGCTTGAAATTCAGAAATGTGTATTTTTGTAATATAAGTGTTAGCTGCAAGTATCAGTATTTCCTGTACCCTTTTCCTGCTGGGCATCTCTTTCAGATGCTTCTGCGGAGACTTGTCTATATTCATTAGACAGCTCTTAATGAATGCCTTCAAAGTTGGGATTAGAGGAAAGAAGAAGAGAATTGAGACTCTGGGAGGGAAAAATTTAAGTAGCCTATATTAAAAGAGCAGCTAGTTATGTTGTTTTAATCATTGAAACTTTTATCTAAATTGATAAAGTAATTTTTATTTTTATTATGCTCTTTAACACTGGGCTTGATATGGAGCCAAACCTGCTAGTGCAGTAGTGTATCAGGGTTGGAAGCATTCTTCTATGCTGAAGTGTATCCTAAAGGGGGGAGGACAGTGGTGAGGGGTGTGCTGGACTTAAATATATTGTATGGTTATACAGACGTTACTTATTTGTTTCATATTTCTACAGAAACTAGTTTCAATGGTTACAGATTTAGGAAGGATAGACAACTGTAATATTGATAATGGGCTAAGAAAAACTACTAAACCTATTTCTGTTGTTAGTTTCCTTGTGCTATTAGAAATAGGGAAAAACACTGCTAAGATACCCAAGCTGTCTGCATTGTAGCTTATATTATTGTAGAGTAAGATGAGGGTGGATTCTGCTCTGTTCATAGCGCATCCCTTTGAAATGCATGAAGGGAATTGTTCTTCATCGCAGGAAAGTAAGAAACAAAAGATGGTGTTTTATGCACCCCTGTCTAGTCTATCCCGAACATAGTGCTGAAATACAATTCTTGATCAATCAGCTACTGTAGATCCCTGTTCTTGCTTTATTCCACAGGACCCTTTGTCATGAGCTAGATAATAAAATGCTCTTTGGGCTTTAACTGGAGCTAGGTCCATCTAGCTTTTTCTTGCTTCTGACACTATTAATTAGATCAACCTGGCTCTAAGAACTATATCAAAATGGTTGTCTTCATGCATTTCTCATTGTTATTCTTTAGTGGGATTGTATTTTGACAGTCAGAGGTTGATTACCAGTTCTGCCAGAGCTTTAAATAAGCTATATTCTGCCTGTTGGGCTGGGTCCATCCTTAATCACTGACCAAGCAGACTATTGCATGCTTTATACACAACTTGAAATTCATGTATCAGTCTGCTTCAGAAATAAAACTGAAGGGATGCAATTTGTCAGCTATCATGTGGGAAGAGAAGTAAACACCCTGTTAATTCTCTTACATGACTGCTATTAAAAGAAAGAGGAAATAAGAGTCTAGCACTCCATTATGCTTTATAGAAGAGCCTTTCAGAAGCAGTGCTGGTTTGGTTTTGTGTTTTGGTTTTTTTGTTTTTTTTTTTTTTAAAGGGCAAAAATAAAAAAAAAAATCCTAAAAATGAGCAGTACTCTAGTGAAGCATGCTTAAATTGACAGGATACTTCTCCTAACATACTGGAATTTCCCCAGTCTTTGAAAGTCTGCTGTTCCAAAGGCATTTCAAGAAACTGGAATGGAGTTTTCACATTCAGAAGTATTTCATTGAGTTTACACACTAAGAAAATTTCAGGCCAGGTCAAGTAGCTGTCAAGAGTTCCCTTTTTTGAATGGAAGTTGCAGTTTTTCCTAAGATGACTGTATTTGAACTCAGAAGGTACATTTGTCATAGTGAAGGTAAATCCTCTAGCACTTGCAGCCTGCAATTCAGGGTTAGATAACAGAATCATTAAGGTTGGAAAAGACCTTTAAGACCATCAAGTCCAACCATCAACCCCACACCATCATGCCCACTAAACCATGTCCTGAAGTGCCACGTCCACATATTTTTTGAACACTTCCAGTGATGGTGACTCCACCACCTCTCTGGGCAGCCTATTCCAATGTTTGACCACTCTCAGTAAAGAAATTTTTCCTAATATCTAGTCTAAACCTCCCCTGGCGCAACTTGAGGCCATTTCCTCTTGTCCTATCTCTAGTTACTTGGGAGAAGAGACCAACACCCACATCACCACAACCCCCTTTCAGGTAGTTGTAGAGAGCGATAAGGCCTCCCCTCAGCCTCCTCTTCTCCAGACTGAACAACCCCAGTTCCCTCAGCCGCTCCTCATCAGACTTGTGCTCCAGACCCCTCACCAGCTTCGTTGCCCTTGTCACACTCCAGCACCTCATGTCCTTCTTGTAGCGAGGAATATAGCAAGATAACCATCTAAATGAGAGATCTTAATTCAAAATCGTTCAGTCCAGCACAGTGAATATACAGGAATTTCTGTGTTCAGGTACTACAGCCGATGTTTTGCAGTAGGCTATATTACATGACTCTCTTGTTCTCTTCTGATCTCAACATACCACAAATGCATTTATAGACCTGAAGTGATGGCACCCGCATGCAGAGCAATTCTGCAAGCCTCCACAGGGCCAGGCTGCCCATGCCTGCGACTGCCATTTTGGATTTGCTGCATCATAGACAAGTTCCCTGTGCTCACTTTGAAAGCATGGTTTTTGGCTGACAAATGCATGCTTGATGTTGCAAGCACTGTAAAACTATTAACATCTAAACTATCAACCAAGCTTTTAAAATAATCCATGGAGTTCAGTCTTTGGACAAACTGCATCCAAGATGGGAATCAAGGTATACCGCAGCTCACATATAAGTCAGCTTACAAATTTTTATTTTCAGAGGCTGAGAGAGAATCTTTGGCTTCTAAGTTTTTTTGTTTTGTTTTCCCCAGGCTCAGAGCATATTTTTCCATAAGTTAGCTCTGTCCATACTTAATTCAGAATACCTGCTGTAAAAGTTGTTTCCTGATTGTTCAGCAGCTTATGGTCGATCCTGTGGCTGCGTCTGTGCCTGCATCTTTGGTAATACTATTCAAGAATGTGCTGTTTGTCACTTTTTAAAAGTATTACAGTTTTAGGATAGCTTTACTTGTTAGTGCGACTGCTTTACGGTTTTGTAATTTTTTTTCAGAGAAGTACAGGTTTGTTAAGAGAATTTATCCTCTTCCATTGCCTGCTACCATCAAAAAAATCCTTTTAGCATTTTAAGAGTATTACTTAACTTTAGATAAAGGGATTATTTGCAAGTAAATTATAATTCTCTGAAGATTATATCCCTTAAAGATCCACAGTTATCTAATCCTTTTTCATTGAGAGATCAAAAATGTGCTGGCAGTTGGAGGATAAAGCACAGCACATAGAGCTGTCAGTGCCTTGCTCCCTTGGGCCTCATGGGAGCGACTGAAAACTCCAGAACTTTATAACAAGCTGCTGGCTTTAGCACGGGACTGTCTGTGGTCTATGGAGGGTACTTTCCTCAGAGCCTTCTGTGTACTTCTGGTAAGTTATTTCTTCCTTTAGATTTCTTTAACACAGAGATTTTTGAAAAAGAGATTGCTCAAGAATTGTAAAACAATTACTACTAACTTTATTATATTGTGCAGAGAAAGAAATATATACAATTGCTATTGTTAATATCTATTTTCAATAGGACAACAGTTTTTCAGTGGTGGGGGAGATAAAAATAAAATGCTAAAGGTGCTTTTGTTACTCTTTCTTTGGATAGATCACTACAGGCTACAATTTAGAAGATGACCGGTGTGAATGTGTAGCGCTTCAGGATTTCAAGGCTGGAGAACAGGTAGTGTGAACAATTACCTACATAATTGTTGAGTTTTGTGGACATTTGGTAACTCCCTACGAAATTTTAATAGCAGAGTGGTGTGGATTAAGCCTTGCTACATTTGAATTTTATTATGCTGAGCTAGTTTTGTGTGAAAATACTACCAAACTAAATAAGTGCACATTTTTCAGAATAAAATATTTTCTGCCACTTTGTAGACCCCGACTTTAGGAGTGTTTTGTTTCCTCATGTTTTAGAGAACTAGTTTAAATATTTAATCACTGGTAAATGCACATACACAGACAATGAGTTTGATGTTCTGGATGAGATTAATAAAAGGCCATATCCGAAGGACCAAAGATAAATATATTTTAGATTTGGGGTGTCACTTTGTCTGCAATAGCAGATTGTGGAGTCTTTCTTTAAAATGTTGTTGGCTTATGTTTCTTGTTACTCTTCATTTAACAAGAGGTTAAATGCCATATAGTTGCCAGTCATTTTACCCATGTTACCATTCCCATGCTTAGTGAAAATGAGAAAGAACCTAAAAATATACGCCCTCCCTTTCACACAGGCATGCACACATGTACACATGCCCCTTCATCCTGAAACGGAAAGTATCAAAGGGTGAGTCTTGCAAAGGTGTGTGGAACAGTTCCAGGAATCCAGCATTTTGTTCAGAACTGCCAAGATACAAAAATGAGTGTTGACACTAGTGATGCATTGAAGACAGTGGTTCCAGGAGTGTAAGAAATCTCCGGTACGAGGGTTTCTGTGCTGTGTCATCAGCCAGTCTAAGCCCTCAAGTATAGTGGCAGTCTTTTTCTTACCGCTTGTGCAGCTGCGGTCAGCATGGCCAGAAAAAGACTTTGTCTATGAAACATCCTGAAATGTTTTGCAATTCAGTCTCTGAGTTATTGCCTTTTGTTTATTATTTTGCTAGTCTTACACTCAATAATATTTTGATTTTTGTTTTTCTTATGTATTGTTACCTTCTTTTTTAACAAAGATCTGTCTGAAAACTTTTTATGTCTTTCCAGAGGTATATTTATCCTCATCGCTGTGCTGAGGTTTACAGTGATTGTATATTTTTTCTGTGTGCTCTTAGAATTTGTTATGGTAGTCAAAAATTTGCTGTATTTTCCAATACCGGTATGATGAGATAAAAGGGGTCCGTAGTTTTTGCAGAAGTGATCCAATTTATAATTTTCCACAGCTGGCAATGGATGTGTCATATAGCTGTTCTGGCTGCTCTCTCCATTTCAATTATAGAGGCTTCCTCTATTTCGATTTTATTTTAGTATTTTCACTTTGTCTGCTATTTATCAGATTATTTTTTTTTTAATTTCTGTGCAAACTTTAACTGTTATCGACATCATTAAAGCACTTTAATTACATAATTCTTCAGTCTTTTAATACACTGTGCAGATGTTATTTCTTACAGTTTCAGCAGGAAGAGTGTATGATCCTTGCTTTTACTACTAAAAAATGTGAGCCAGCAGAAGTCCACAAAATCTATCAAACACTGGCCTTGAATAAAGCAACTTTGTCATTCTGTTTAATTGGCTTTTTTGTAAAACGGTCCTAGAGTGTAAGAGCATAGTATATAGTCTACTCATGATACGTGACTTTTAGTTTAATATGAGATGTATCACAGTGGTTTTAAAACTTGAGAGGTTAGCAACTCTCCTTCGCCACTGCTTTAATGTACCTAGGCAGGTCACTTGTTCATTATACGAGTGTGTTACAGTATAATGTTTACTACAATTTAATGTAATGCTTAAGCATTTAGTGCTTAGGATAAATAGTTCTAATCTAAAATTGAAAACAAAGTAAGTAAATGGCATCATTAGTGTTGTTGAGCCCTTAAGAGAACACTGTGCCTTTCTCTGTGAGCTGGACAGGAGTGGAAGCTTACAGGTATCCAGAACATTGCTGTACCCTAAGGTTAAGAAGGGAGTTCAGTAAATGTTGAAACTTTTTTTCAAACAAAAGGGGAAAATATCCTCTTGATGCAGGAAAAGACAGTTGCTACTTTGACCTCTTGTCCCATGTACTTTGTGCAGCCTAGCCCTGAATTAAACACTTTTTGCAGGTTATATTTAGGAACTTCTTTTTTAATGTGAATTTAAGTAACCTATTTGCTTTAGATAAAGAGTTCAGAGTATAACACAAAAATAAATACTGGCTGAACACAGGTCAAATCTCTCTGTATGATATAGTTTGGTGTATCCATACCTTAAGGTAACATGAAAACAAAAGCAAAGTTCATCCATCAGCAGTGTAGGTTACTCTTTTGGGTGGACATATACAGGGGGAATGACCCCAGAAACATAATTTCTTTTAATGGGCCCTCCATGTCTCAGATTTTTTAGCCTTTAAAAGGCATAGGATCTTTGAAAGCTTATTTCCATATCCTGATATTTTATGACTGTGAGAAAACAAAGCATTTTTAGAGTAAAAAATAAGAACCTCTTCTCTCCTTTCAAAGTCTCTGTTGCATGGATATGTTTACATCTACCTCTGAAGTATATTTCCATACTGTATACAGCATTTGAATCGATACCAGAAAAAAAAGTGTGTTTCTTTATATAACCAAATAAACCTTGTACTCAGAATAGTAACTCTTTCAGGAAATAACTTTCAAATTATTTCAGTTTTGTGAGCTGATCTTAAGCTTTTTTTCCTGTCCCTTCACTTCTCTTTTCATCCTTCTAGATTTACATTTTTTATGGCACTCGGTCAAACGCTGAATTTGTGATCCACAGTGGTTTTTTCTTTGATAATAATTCACATGACAGAGTGAAAATAAAGCTTGGCGTGAGTAAAAGTGACAGGCTGTATGCTATGAAGGCAGAGGTCTTAGCTCGTGCTGGTATCCCAACGTAAGTAAAATACAATGCCATGGGTTTTCTAAAACATGTCCAAAGTATACAGTGTCCAGTAGAGCATATATAAAGCTGTTCTATGATAGGTTTCTTAGGTGTAATATTTCTCCTGTTTGTATATCAAATTAAAGTTATTGTAATAATATTTACAGAAGTTCTCTGAGCTATGTTATCATCTAATTTGGACCATATATAAGGAAAAAAGCCTTTGCTTTAATAACCATTTGAACAGAAAAAGAGCAAGGATTAATTTGAAGCAATCTGTGGTTTTTCTTTCTTTCCTATCCCTTGCAGACATACTACGATGCTCAGTATGTGAACCACAGCATTTTCCTTTAGTCTTTTCAGTCCAGAGGGTACTGTTAGGAGCAGCAGACGTGAAACATTGCATTTTCATGAATTTATTATGAAAGCCGTATAAAAATAATTGTAAGTGTAAAATTGTAGAGATAACTGTTCTTTTCAGATACAGGTTAGGGAAGCTTTTCTTTAGTTTGAATGAGTATTACCCATTTTTTTAAAAGTTACTTTTGTAACAGTGCATTTGTTGTGTACTTTAAGATGCTTTATGTTGAAATAATTTCAAAGGTATGACAATAGAACTTGCATTTACTGTTGCTGTTTGATTGTTTCTTTTATTAGTTCTAGTGTTTTTGCCTTGCACTCTACCGAGCCTCCAATCTCTGCCCAGCTATTGGCTTTCCTTCGAGTGTTTTGTATGAGCGAAGGTAGGATGTTTTAGAAACATAACCTAATTTACATTTGTTTGGGGGTTGGGGTGGTTTTTTTGTTTGTGTTGTTTTTTTAATGCAGGAATGTAATAGACATTTGCATAAAACATTAAGCTAGAACACTGGAAAAGTTGAGGTTAAAAAGGGATCTATAAGCTAGTGAGAAATGCAATCTTTGTCCATGCTGTCTGAGGGAGTATTTCAGTAACATAGGCCTTTCTGGAACTCCTAAAGCATGAGGTGATGCAATTTTTAAATTTTTTTTTTAATCTAACAGGCTCTTGTGAATGAGTGAGCTTTGGAGCTTGTTCTTTAGTTCTTAGATTTAAACATGGTTCACAGATTGAGATCGTGTGAGACCTAGGGATTTACATGCTTAAAATCATGGCATATTAGCCATTACTGTTAGAATCATTTAGTTATGGAATTTGAATATTCTGTACTGTAGGACAAATATAGAAGAGACATTTCTAAGTTGAGTATTTTCAATATTGTGGTAATTCATAATCCAAAACCTACTTATGTATTTGCAAACTGTAGTGTTTCTCTTATGTTAGGGGGTTTTATAGGGAAAATATATGTATAATTAATAAATATTCACCTAATTTGTGCATGTGAAACTTCCGATTAAACATTTGTAATAGGTGCTTGCCAATCAGGTGCAGTTTTGGACGTTATAGATGTGACGCTTTTTCATGACAGTGAGAGAATTCCCTTTCAGTTAGGGATGCTGTGTGGATGATATATATTTTTATACCAATACACATACCGAAGTTGTTAAGTTTTCACATGTTCTCTATTTGCTTTCTTTAATAAGGACAACCTAATTTAGTTAGTGTCATGCCTTCGCTGCATCCTGTCATCCATCTTTTAGAACTTACTAAGAAAATAGAATAGAATAGTTCAGTTGGAAAGGACATACAGTGATCATCTAGTCCAACTGCCTGACCACTTCAGGAAAGTAAATTCAAGTAAAGAAAATTTCAGGATGCTGATGAGGGGGTGAATTTTCTCTCAGAGAAGAAAATATAGCTAGTAAACGTTTTAATTGCATTACTCTATGTGGTTGTGCTCAGACTATTCATATGTCTTAAATACTGTGTAAGAAAACTGTGTATTGAGAAACTATATGCAAGTGGTTTGTGAAGCTTGTGATAGCTGCTTTGCAGAAGTGAAATTTGGTAATGAAGAGATTAATGGAATTTGTGTAATGTCAAGGAGCTGATTCAATATTTTCTACTCAGTGTGAGGTTTGTTTGATGGATGTCTTTTCTGACCAACTGTAGGGAGTTTCTGCTACTGAAAAAGATTACCAAAACAATAGGAAAAATAATTCCATTGCTATTTGCACAGTCTGGCCTGTTCCTTTTATTATCAAAAAGTTCACTGAACTCTTTAAAGAATTACTCCCTTTTGTTTACCCAGTATTATACAAAATATTTCCATCTTACTGTCACAGAGCTACGCTGTGTGTGAGAGGCTATGATATAAAAAGTATCTTTATTTCAGAGTGGAGCAGAAGGTCCATTTTCTGCTAACCTCAAGACTTCCAGTTGCCTCACTGAGGAGAATCCTAGAAATAACCAGCGCATCTGATAATTCTTATTTGAGGAGAGGATTTTTTTGTTAGCTGCTTGAAGCTGTACTATTGAAAATAAATCTTTCTGCAGTTTGTCAACTGGCAAAATGAATGATGAGATTATTTTTAACAGATTGGTTTTATACTTATTGCAGAAGAGCTGAAGGAACACTTGATAGGCGAGCATGCCATTGACAAAATCTTCACTCTGGGGAACTCTGAGTTTCCCATTAGCTGGCACAATGAAGTTAAACTTTGGACATTCCTAGAAGCCAGAGCATCCCTTCTTTTGAAAACCTATAAAACAACTGTGGAGGTAAAATTATCATTATATGTGATTTAAATGTCTGAAACGTTTTGTGTTATGATTGTAGGAAAGATATTTTATCCCCCATCTTGTCTTTACAAACTTTAATCTGAATGTTAGTACATAATTCATTCTGTACTTTTTAAAGTGTAGAAACAGATTTGCATTATCTAAGGAAAATCAAATCAGACTGCAAAAAAGAAAGTTTTGTTAATGTAATTTTGTTAATGTATTTTTTTCTTTGATTCTCCAAATAGAGGCTACTAGTAAAATAGGGAATCAGTTTCAACTTGTTGTCTATTAGTTGAATTCTCCAGACTGCAAAGAGATATGCTGCTCTGGCGAGCGTATAACTGAGCCTACGTGTTTCATGTATTTGTGAAGTCTTCTGACTTCGCTTGTTATGCAGCCTGATCTATGTGGAGAAACTTTTGGTGGCTTTATGAATTCTCAACAAATTTCAGTGGGATGCCATGCAGACCCTCTCATTTGGCTCAGACTGAAGAACCTAGCGTCACTTACTGTTAGCGTATAGAGAGAAAAGTTGAGGGATTTTTTTATTGTCTTGGTTGTTACTAACAAACTTGCTTTTTCCTTTCTAACAGGATGATAAGTCCTTCTTGGAGACCCATGACCTTACTTCACATGCGATAATGGCTATCAAATTGCGCTTAGGTGAAAAAGAGATCTTGCAGAAAGCAGTAAAGAGTGCAGCTGCTAGCCGAGAGTATTATACCAAACAAATGGCAGATGGAGCTCCGCTTCCTAAATATGAAGAGAGCAATATTGCCTTGCTGGAGAACACTGTGGCAGACTCTAGACTCCCTATTGTCTTGAGAAACCTAGAAGATGTTGAAGAACAAGGGGATTTAAAGATTGATGAGGCTATTGATGCTGAAGTCACAGAGAATGGGTTTGTAAATGGTGAAAACTCTCTATTTAATGGGACCAAATCAGAAGGTGAAAATCTAAATGAAGAGAAAAGCAACAGAGAGACTGAAGATGCCAAAGAATCTTCTTCAGAAAGTACTGATGAGGTTAAAGAATAGTCCTAAAATTTTACTTTCTTGTGAAATTAAATTAGCTGAAGTTTATGAACAGTGCATTTATGTTGGTGTGTTTCTTTGTTAACATTTCTCTTTCTGCAGAGAAAAGTGTTTTTGCTGCTTTATATAAAAATGAATTTTTAAGTTATTAAAAAGATTTAGCATCCCTTTTCAATTAAGATTGCCATCTTGCTTTCAGGCAAAAACTGGGGGAAAGAGAGGTGCCTTTGGAAGATTTTGCAGCCCTTTGTTGAACCAAATGTATTTTCTTCCTGGGGAAGAATTAAGCTCTTCTATCTGCTGTGCTTTTGTTGTTCTGTCACTCTGACTACCGAAATTAAAAGCTTGCTCTGCCTCCTGCCAAGAAAAGCAGAAGGCAGGATTGACTTGGTATTCAGCATGAAGGTGGGAGAGCAGTACAGCAGAAAACTGGATAAGAGGATCAGAAACTTGGGAGACTGGAGGAAAACCTGTTTAAAATCAGGTATGCCAGTCCAGAAAAAGGTAAGGTGGCAACCTTATGATTGGCATTTTTAAATGTTGATGAAAATCTGAACTGTATACATTTGAAGTGATCTCTGAAGGTTTCAGTTTACTTTTTCTTTTGTTTACTGTATAAAAATATCTCACATTTCTTCTTCAGTCAGAATTAGGCTGCTACAATACAATATTCACCAACTTTTAAAGGCTGACTTCTTTTTATTTCCAGGTGATACCTTTTATTTACAAGGTTGGCAGTGCTGCTGGAGAGTTTGAAAGCAGATAGGCCAAGCCACAGCTTTAAACTGTACTATTCAAAGTGAGGTCGCTTCCCAGCTTCTTCAGGTTTTCACAACTAGCTAGAGATTTTCAAAGATACACTTTTGACTAAACCATTATTAAAAGGAACAAACATATGGTTAATATTCCTGTCTGCTACTCCTTCATTTCTGTGTTGTTGGATGTAACATTGAATGTGACATGGTTACCTGCTCTTACTTAACTTTGCCTTTTTGTTAAGATACTAATCGATGCTGTTTTCTTGACGGAAATGGCAGGCAGGCTAATGTATTTAGGCTCAAGTCCAGACCACAGCCAAGTCTGCAGTACGCTTTGCCATTTAGATTGTGTCTGTCTGATGCACATTTCTTGGGATGCCTCCACAAGTTAAGCAGGTCTGCCGTCTCCAGCAGTTTTGATCACCCTCATACTATATGTTTTAACTTTAGGTGGAAACAATACAGTCCTAGCACAGTGCAATATCAGAACAAGGGTAATTCCAAGGCTTGACTTTGAAATTACCTGGGTATTGGGAAGAGAGGAGGGCGGAATGTTTTTATCTCGTGGGTTAATGGAGAGGAGTATAAAGTGATTTTAATTCTGTTCTCAATATAAGGACTTTGTCTTTTACCTTTGTATCCTTAAGTTCAAGATAATGGATCGAATGGACAAGCTTGGACAATTCTTTAAAGCTCAATAGTGTTGCAACCTGTTCATCCAAGATCAGTTGCAGTAAAATATTTTTTGGCATATTCATAGTTTTATTAGATTTTGCTTCTTTTATACTGCAACTTGGAAAATGTGTTTTTGCATAAATCTTTGGTGCAATACACATGATAAGTAGTGACTTTCTTTAAGGTTGTCATAGCAGTTTTGGTGTTCAGCTAGTATCAGTGTGGGGAAAATAGAAAAAAAAAATAGTTTTTTAAAAAATATTTCACTAAGAATGGCATGTTGCCATTGCACCTTGGATATTGCTTCACCACTAACAAGATGCTGGACCAGTATTTTTGTAACTATATGCTGCCTTTGGTAGAATGTTATGAACTGTTGTCTTGACAGTTTAAATGTTATACAAAAGTCATTACATTTCGGTTTTTATTAGGACCAATATTCCATTTCTGTTTCTGCCACTTACATTGCACAACGTTGTACTGGATACTATGATGCAATTCTGAAACTAGCCTTCCCTGAAGACTATAACTGTAATTCAGAATTTAAATGCTTTGATTCAATCTGATACACTGTATTTTGTTCCAGTGTTTGCTGATACTTCTGGCTTAGCAAAGCCTGTGGTCACCACAGGACAGAATGTGTGGGTTTTCTTGAATAAAACATATATACCATGTCTTCCCTAGTGAGTGTATTATACAAACAAAACCTCTACCTGCTACTGACTGCTGTATCTTTTGGGGTCTGTGGGGAGAGGTGTACCAAGAAAGATTAAAGGAGAAATAGCTGGCAATAAAAAAAAAAAGGGGGGGGGGGGGCGGTGGTCCTAGTAAACAGAAAGTGGTCTATTAAGCGCGCGGTCAGAATCGTACTCTTCATATGCCAGTGTTACTTAGAAAAATACATTGTACACAACAAAAATAGTGAGTAATCTAATTTTATAATTTGCATTTTTCCTCTCTGCATGTAATGGTTTCTCAGAAGCACTAACCTAAAACTTAAGCTTTTGAAAACTGAGGTGGAAACAAAAAATTGGCACTGATGAGCCCTTATTACCATCTGTCATGAAAACAGACCTTTCAAAGCATTTTAAAGTTAACTTTCTTCATAATGTTTGGTTAAAAGGCTGTTCACACTAATCGCAGGCTAAATGCCAAATCTTGCTTCTGTTTAGCTAGCTATCTGAAGTAGTCCTGTAAGAAAGACATCACTTGGATTTCTCGGACTGTTCTCCAAAAACAAAAGAGGGGAAGAAAAGCCCTTTTGAATTTTGCATGAACCTACCTACTGCTGAATCGTTTCTCTAACAACCTATAACTTCTCTGTACTGTGAGATGATGTCCAACTAGCCCTCTTGCTAAAGTCAAATATACAAAATTGAGTAACAATCTCCATTCTGAAAAAATGCTTGTAAAGTGTATAAATTCAACCCTAGTTTAAGTGCTGTCATGAGTAGACAAGAGCTGAGAGCCTTCTGGCTGTGGAGGTAAGATGGTTTAGGATCTTGGCTAAAATAAGGTGTGTTTTTGCATCTTGGCTAAAATAAGTATTCTGGGGCATTGTTAAAATGCGGTATGTACAGAAAATCTGTGCAACTCAACAGTAGCGGCATTCTTGAGGCTAATTTGCCTTTAGAGAGGAATGATCATCATGGAGTCATGAAACTTGCATGTTTCGAAGGTACACTGGAAGATTTAGGTTACGCAAACTGTTCTTCTCCAGTTCATGTGTTAAGAAACTATTTAATATCTGCTGCTGCCACTTCTATCACCCTTACTTTTTTTTACCTTTTATAGAAAGGCACTTGAAATAATTATGAAACGCAATTTGAAGTGTTTCAGTCTGACACCATAAAGATGCTCCTAAAATCCACTGCTCTTTTCTGATTTTATGGACTGAAAGTCAGTCCTTGCTATTTCTCATGCTCTGTGCCAAACAGGAGCGTTCAGAAAAAAACCTTGCTCTACCAAATTTGTCTGATGAAGCAACACCCATTCCTTTTTCTCGAGAAGATTTTTAACTGATCCTTGTTGAAGTCAGATGTGACCACATGATTTTCACATAATTGCCGTTTATATTTAATAGATTGGAACATGCCTCTTTCTTCGAGTGCATTGCTTGCTGTACAAAGCACAGCACGTAAGTTGGTGACTCACGGTTAGAAGAGTTTCCCTAGCATTTCTCAGTTTCTGCATCTATTTCCTAACGAATGCCACAAGTGTGGAAACCATGTGGATTTTTTCAGTTAAAATAAATAAATCTCAATCCATACTTAAGAAAAAAAGCCACAAATGGTCCTGGATTCTTTTGGGTTTTGATAAGTTCAGTTTTGTTAGGTTGTGATTGTAGGAAATCATAGGTTTTTATGATTTCCTTTGGTTCACAGGTTTGTTTGGTGTGTTTCAAAACTGAATGAATGACTGCTCTAGAGACAGTGTACATGGCATAAACTTGAGCTTTAGTAACACAAATCTATCTATGATAATTTGTTTAGTGAAAAACACAAATTGAAATTCTGCCAAATGCCAAAACGCCTATCTTATGGTACCACACAGAAACCAAACACACCCATTTTTTTTCCATTTTTGTAGCCTTTTGCAGAATATGGAGAGCTGTGCTATTGACCCTCCTGGATTATCAGTAGCAGGCTTTGAAATATGCTTGAATAAGTTGTTTTGTGTAGCAGCGTACATGGGGTGGTATTGGGTACTCATGTATATCTAACAAAATGTGATTTTTGCCTTGTACACTGTCTTTAGCCATTAACAATTATCTTTATTTTCAGTGTATGTAGACATCAAACTTCACTTACAAATTAATTTTTTTTTTTCCCACATTGGTAGCAGCATGAACTGGACCTGGCAGTTTACAAAAGCAATCAAGTTGGTTGTCAGTGTTTGGATTGCCCAGAAAGCCTTGCACAGTCAGTACTGGAATGGCTGGAAACCAGAAAGCATTCGACTTCTGCCTTTGTCTGTCATGCTACGAAGCCTTAACAGCTGGAGCTGGTGCCATTTTTCATCATGAAAGATTAAGGTAGATAGGGGACAAAAGCAAGGAGATGTCCCTAAGTGGAAAATAAAAGCTGGACAACTGAACACTAGCTAGCTTGTCTCAGAGGCAGTGGTTGCTAACTGAAGAATAATTAGTTTAGGAATTATTTCAGTGAGTGTTCAAAAAAAGAGTATCTCTAGTGCTGTAATTACTGTGGATTTTTAAGCATGCCATACCTTTCACAATTAGACAAGGGCTTCACTTTCCCTAGGAACAGGTGAAAACATACCAGTTACGAAGAGTTGTAATGCATCAAGCTGGCAGTGAAGAGCAGATGTAAGTGGCTGCTTGCCTTGCTGTCAGTGCTGAGGGCAACCGGAGTGAAGGCTGGGTTGGAGTCACTGTTGTCCATTAACTTGTTCCTCTGCCGCTGTGGGAGACCTACTCGTCACCGAGGGGGTAAGGAAAGGCTTCATGAATCCAGCATGGAAGGACTGGACACAGCCGCAGAGAGCAGAAGATAGTGTTGTATTCGGGATGCTCACCTGAAAAAAAATCTAGACTGGGGGACCTCTGTCAAAATAATATTTTTGTGTATAGGACTTTTATTACATAAAGTTGAT